TAAATTAAGGGCTTACTAGTTAGTAGTATTTGGTAGTCATTCTTTCTAGGAAACTACAAAATATTTTGGAAGTAAACATTTAGGCAGATGAATTAGGCAAATTTGGTTAAGCAAATGAAATGAAAAAACAATCAAGATCAATGTGAGGTTTGCAGCTTGGCTTTCTTGGCTGATGTGAATTGGCCCAATTCCTCGAGGTTTCAGTGGAGCTATGCTTTTTGCCTGATCAGGATTAAGATAGCATCTTAAATTATCTTCACTTGACTTTGCAGGGAGTGTGAAATGGGTTCCTAAGTATCTTAGCCATAAGGAGGAGACAAAGTATGCTGAGCAAGTGTGAATTTTGTTACCCTGTTGGCACTATACCTTGTTACCATTGTTAAATGTGGAAACCTTTGCCACAGCGGTTTTCTTAGCTACAACATCAGATAAATTAATTTAATTATTCATTACTAAATCGAGGCATTCCTCATTTTTGTGCAGCAGCTAGTTTTAGATCCTGTAGCAGCTCTCACTTGCGCTTCAAAACATGACCTAAGTAAGTGCTGTTCCTGTTTTAAGATGTTCCTATTTTATGGAAGTATAAAATACATAAAAAACGTATTTGTAGGGTAATAACAGGGTTTTTTTTTCCCTCTGTGGTTCACAGGGAGACTAACCAGACTGTCCAGGTGACCCAGGAGTTCCTTGAGTACCATGTGAATGGAGATGTTACAAAAGGACCCATTTCAGACAACTACTTATTTGCCCCTAATGCTTCTGCTGTTCCAGTATCTCAAGCGGTTGGATTGGAAGTGGTCTCTGGAAACTTAGTGACAGAGATACGGCAGTACTTCTTCAGGTGCAGCTCCATTACAGCTTCACTTCACTTGAATGTGTAGTCATCTGTTGATGTATGTGAGTTGTTCTGTGCAGCTCCTCCTCCACACAGTGGAGTTCTTGTACTCTGGAGGTTCCAGATGAGAACTGACATGAATCTGCTAAGCATAATGCTACCTTTTAGATAAGTCATATCACTGGGGGAGGGAGGCAAGGATTGTTCAGAGTTACCTCAGTAGTCTGCTTTATAATGTAATTGTATATAATTAATAACCCTTCTTATTTTTATAGCAATGTTACTGCTCAGTATTACACACATGCAGTATTTACAAGGATGTTTTCAGTACCCGAAGGCTATGATGGGAAGTTGCTCTGTCATAGGATAGAGCAAGAATACAGTGTTGGACCTTTGGAAGTAAATCATGAGGCAGTTCTAAGAACAAGCACAAATTTGAGCACTGGGCAGCTGCTCTACACTGATGACAATGGATTTCAGATTCAGAAAAGACCATTCAAGACATATGTGAATAATACGGTAGCACGGGTAGGTGCCAAGGCATAATCCAAACTAAATGTGGTTTTATCTTCATTTTTCATCACTTTTATCTAGGTTAAAATTAATATAGCATGAATTACTATGTGTTTTCAGAACTATTATCCTATGGTCCAGACTGCCTACATTGAAGATAATACCACGAGGCTAGTGCTGCTTGCAGAAAGAGCTCATGGTGTCTCAAGTCAAGGGAATGGGCAAGTGGAGGTAACAAATGCAGTTGTGTGGGGTTTTTTTATTAGGAGAGGATAGCTTTGTGACTGATAACTGTTGTGACTCATTCTCAACACAGGTGATGCTTCACAGGAGACTATGGAACAATCTTAAGTGGGACCTAAATAACAATCTTACTTTGAATGACTCTTCAGTGGTTCGTCCTGTGTTTTGGCTTATTTTAGGGACTAAGTCTGCCACCAATGTTTTGTATCAGACAAGTGGCTTAGCATTACAACACAGGCCAGTTGTAATGTTTGGAACATTTTCAGGTAACTCGTTCTCTCCTGTGCTATCTTTAGTATCTGAATAGTTTATCTATTTTGCTTTGACTTACACTGTTAAGTTTGTAAATGCAGACTTTAAGCCTCCTGTTTGGTGAAGTTAGTATACTGTGAGTTTGAAGGCAGATTTAGAGACGGTTAATTATTTTGCATTAATTTCAGATATGGATGCTTTCCAAGTGTTTCCAAGAATGTTTCTCTTGTTACGTAATTATCTCTGCTTTTAGAGGAGAAAAAATTGTAGAGCATGTAATGAGAACAAAATGTCCACACAGGGAATTATTGCAAAGTAGCTAGTGTACTTTGCAATCAGCTTCCTGGATGCGAGTCTTTAGTGACCTTTTTTGAGTCATTCTTTTAAAAATATCTGACTTATTAACTAAAACTGAAGCCTGGTAGTGGAATAGTAGTATCAGACTGCAGTGAGATCTGCTTTATTGGAAGCTTTAATACACTTCTCCAGCTCATAAATTCCTTCAGTGTTGTATCTCAGAAGACCTCAGAGGAGAAAACACAGCATCTGCTTTAGATCTTCTTTGTCAGGAAACGAGAAAATCTTTTTATGGTACTGTAGCCAGGCTTATGTACACATGATGGATGTTTGATGTCCACTTTGTTTCCTTTTGCATGGAGGAGGTAAACCAGAGCTACCCGGGCAGCAGAGATCAGCCCACAGTTTTTCTGTAACTCTCCCACCTAATCTTCATCTCCAGACTCTGAGCATTCCAGGGTGGAGATACAGCTCTAATCATGCAAAGCAGCTCCGCACCATTCACATGGGTAGGTGCTTTCATAAGGGTGTCTGAAAGTTATGCTCCAAAAATCTGTCTTTCTATTTTTCTGTATTCTCTAAATAGCATTTAAGTGTTAAATCTCTCCATCAAGACATATAATTGTCTTGATTACTTGACAGTTAACAATTGCTCTACTCAAATGGTAAAACATCTCCTATATGAGTTAGTGTCATGTCCTGTTAACAGTGGGAACAGGGTACTTCTTGCTCTTAGCACTCTGGCTAATCTTCAAAAATGGAACATAAGTTCAAATAATGTAATTGTGAAGCACAAAAAATTAAAATAAAAACTGAACAACAACAAAAAAAATTGGTTTTATTTTATGTCAGAAACCATTTTATGTTGTTTTTTCTTGAAGGTAAACAGAAGCAAGGTGATGCAGACTTCAGTCGTGTCCTGCTAAGAATTAGACACCTGTATGAAGTTGGGGAGGATCCTGCGCTGTCTCAGCCTGTGATGGTGAATTTGAAGGTAAATCTAATCCTTGTGGAACACCGCTTAAGGTATTTTTGTTCCAAGGAGAACTGGTTCTGGAATGATATGTCCCATGTGATAGACTCCATAAAAGGTATGAAAATGCTGCTGTAACTTTAGCCTCAGAGGATTGCAGGTCTTATTTATATTCGGACTTGCACCACAAAAGCTATTACTTCAGATAAAGTTGTCTTAGATACAGTATGCAGACATGACAATAGCAAGGTTGAACAAGGTGTAGGGCGTTCTGTTTTTTTCTTGAAAGTTAGTAAGAGTTTCAGTTCTTGAATTGCAAGATCAGTTGCTTAGAACTCTGCTACAGTACAGAGGATGTTCTTGGCACCGCTGCTTCTTCGTTCAGGTGAGCCTATAGTTGTCCTTGTGTTGTGACTTGGAGAATCCCATGGCAGATTTAAGTCTACTGCTCTACTTACCGGGTCAGTGCTTTAGATAAAGTTCTGGTCTATGTATTAGATCAGTCGTTGTTAAGCTAGTCTCAATAAACTGTGATTCTTTACTCACAGTGTTTGCTGAAAGAACTGGGGGCAGTGAAGTTAGTGGAAGAGCGATCACTCACAGGCACCTGGGATGTAAACACTTTGAAGCGGTGGAAGTGGAAGACTGCACAAAACCCAAGCAAAGGTAGGTGGAACAAGACAGTTGGTGTCTTTATTCCTGTTGACTGTTGAAGCTGTATGAGTTCTCTGATTAAAAATATTGCTGTATTTGCAAGATGAAAAATGTTTTGTTCATCTACGTCACATACCTTTTATCTAGCATAGTCTGCAAGCAGTAGGAATTAGCAAAGGTTCTCAGCAAGAACTAGACCTCAGTATTTCTCTTGTGGCTCATTTCACCCAGAAGTGTTAAACTCAAAAAAGATTTCAGGTTTCTATCTTTGGCCAGATTGAAGTGGCTACTCTATGAAGTCACACTTCATGAATTTTGTTATATGCTGATGAGTTGTGTCAATCTGAGCTTAACATTGTGCTCTAGAAAAACAGACAGCTGGAGTTAAAAATCTCCCACTGTAATCAGCTTAAAGGTCTGTGTGGATAGGATTCCAGTTAGGACTCATTCAAGTGCTGTAGGTGACCTCATTTCATTTCCCATTCCAGTTAGTTGCTTGGACATAGTCCTTGCTCTCACAAGCATATTATGTGCCAGTTAAAATGCTTGGCCTGGGCAAGCTGTGAGTTTCAAGCTCTGCTTGACCTGCAGCTAGGAACTGGCTTGTTTTTTTACTCATGATGATCTAAAATGCATGACTGGAAAGTCACCCACATTTTCTGGTATGAGTCAGTGTATGAAAAGTAGATAGATTGTTGTGTATCTTAATATTAAGAATGAGAGTGCACTGTAAGTCCCATGTAACCTATAGCTTTAAAAGAAGAGAACCTGTTCAAACACTAGCTTTTAAGGAATACACAAATTGCATCTGCTGATATAGAATAATTTAAATTTAAATAAAGCTCCTTCTTGAGTAAGTTACCAATGTTTCTGTGTCTTACAGGATTCTCCAATAATACAAAGATCTCAGACGACTTTATTGTAACTGTTCACCCAAAGGAAATAAGGACTTTCTTTGTGTATTTTCAAGATCAATAAAGTCTGACTTTGTTTCAGGACTGAATATGTAATTGCTTTCCGTTTTTGTTTGTAAACATAAATGATGGTCTTGAAAGGTATTCTGCTGCTGTCAATGAAAAGAATGTCATTCTGGAATGAACTCTAAATTTAATTAAACTGTTGACCTGTGTATATTTTTAGTACTTAATTACTTACGATTCTTTTTTTTTTTTTTTTTACTGAAATTTGTTCAATTTGAAAATACAAAAATGGCCTTAGTGTGGCAGTACAAGTGGTTTGAACAATTTCATGTTTGCTGTGGGTGGCTTTAAAGTGATTGCTTCTGTGATGTTTCATTTGGGAATGCTGACAAAGGCGCATTAGTCCTCTAGTCTTGAATTGTCTTTCTTACTGTGATAGTTTCAAGAGTCCTTTCACAGGGTTTTTATTGTTAGTGATGGCTTCTCAGTCACAGAATAATAATTTGCCCAAATCCATTCTGTTTCTATATGCCAATCATGTCTTTAAGCTACTTTGTCTTTCAGGCAACAACCACAACTTTTCTGCTTTACTGTGAACTCAAGTTGAATGCGGTGTTGGTATTCCTGTGCAGCAAGTTCATTAAAACTGTCTCTCTTAAGATCTGGAGTTGACTAGATTTGCCTCACACTATCCCATTAGTCTTCTGTTCTGTTCTAGTTAGATACAAAGGACAGTGTTTAGAGAGAAACTGACAGTAAGTGCAAGTTCTAAGCAGATCTGATTGAGCAGCAGCTAAAGGAAACAGACAGCAACCAGCTTTCCTAATAGCTGGTATGTTTTTGTGTTCAAAAGCAACGTTACACTTTTCAATTTTTTCTTAGCTGAAACTGTAGAATCTCATTCTGTTCACATGCCCTTGATTTACGTATTCACTGTGAAAATGCACGTGGCTGAGATGAGAATCAAGTTGATCGCTTACTGCAGTGGTAATGCTGAATTGTGCTGTGTACAGAACTGTATTTCTGGCCAGCAGAACTTGAAACACATGGGATTTAAAGGGAAATAGAGATGGGTTTTAAATCTATAATTTCAGATCTACATTCATCTAAAAAAGTGTTGCTGTGATAGTTGTTTTGATGTAGTTCTGATTATTTCACCAATAATTTCTCCCCCCATGCAGAAATGCTGTTCCAGAACAAAGGAGACAGTGGAAAGGACTGTTGCAAAACAGCTGTGCTGAAAGAGCTGCACTGCTGTCAGCTTCTTTGTGAAGACAGCCTGTACAAACTGACTGTGTCACCTTAAAATCACCAGAAAGTGCTGCTTTTCAGTAGGTGGACTGCTGTTGTTACATATTTGTTACTTTTCACACTTGGCCATAAACACTTGGCATACACCAATCTGACCTGCCCTGCTGCAGTGGAAGCTGTTTTCCTGCAGCGTTAATCCCATAGGGAAAGCATATATCACTGTAACCAGGCTGCAGTAAAGGATGATGGCAGCTATTTTCATTTTATTTTGTGTGTATTCAGAAAACAAAATGTGTTCAACTGAGTCACTTTGGTAATCTTTTTTCAGTCTCTGCTTGGAGGTATCATGTATCGTCATGGGCATGGGCACTGTGTAGGTTGCACAGTGGTATGATTTCACCCTGTGTTTTTGTGGATGAACTGGTTGTGTTGTCTGATACACGTGTTAAAAACAATAAGGCATGCTGGTAGGTTATAAAATTGAGCTGTATACTGAGTGAGCAAAGCAAATATTGCCCAAAGTAGTTCCTCTTTCATGCCTGCATTCACCTAGTTTGAGAAGATGCTTTTGGTGAATGCATTGATACCACTACCATGGTTGATTTATTTTCATTGTGCAATAATTACATGGTGTTCTGTTGTATTTTTTTTTAAGAGGAAATATTGCAGATCACTACTTTAATCACTAGAGCAGGTAAAAGTATGACTTGCACTCATATTTATTTGAAAATGAATTGTGGTAGGCACAGCTGGCCGATTGTTGTGCTGCGGAGCTGTTTTTCTGCTCAGATGTAAGTTGTCATTCATTACTGGAAAACAAATTAGATGGGGTTTATTTCCATGCTAACAAAGGTTTTGAGAAGAGTCCTGGAGATAATATTAAACCAAGTTTTCAGCTTTTTGCTTGGGTGAAAGCTGGACAAAATTAGTAGTGTGGATGTATCATGGAAAGCAAGTAAAGCTCCACTGGCGGTAGTGAGATGTTACCAGGTCTGTTACACAGAGCCAGGTGAGAGCCCAAGTGGCAGCATGCTTCACACCTGGTGTTTGCTGGAGGCAAGGAAGACTCATGAGTCTTGCAGAGTCCAAATGTGGTGATGTTAATTGTAGACAAAGTGAGAAAACTGAGAAGAATCTCTCTGTTGCGGATGCATTCTGACCCACACAGTTGTTCTGTGTGATGCAGATTGCCTTGAGAAACGCTCATATTTTTTCCACCCACTCAGTAATACCACTGAATATGAATACCTTGCATTTGTGGGGTCATGCTGTGAACTGCTACAATGAAGTAATGCAGGCTAAAAATAAACCTTTTTTCTATCCCTCTTTCTATGCCAATTCATTTCGTCTCTGATAGTGGATGCTTTGGATCAGAACCAGAGCATCTTTCAGAGTGAATGTGAGCTGCTGTCAGCACTATTGGAAAAGTTTCGTCCAGCCTCTACATATGGAGCTGCCAGCTGCACACCTGAACGCGAAGTGCACGAATACACATATTTAAATGGAAAAGAAGCTAATTTCTCCATTGGATCTGTGCATACATATTTCATTTATTCTGCACCAGAATTAACAAAATTTCAGTACTAGTATAGCTAATAGAATATTTCTAAGTATTTATCTCTTCAGTTCAAAGATATTTGTTTTGCTCTCAGTAGCTCTAGCCAGCTGGGTACCATCAGAGATAAGGACACTCTACAGCAGTCCTAGAATTTGCGGTTTTAGGAACTTACTTATCTTTGCTCTTGTATTGGGGTATATTTTGTGTTTGACCTGGCAATGCAAGTGACAGTAGAATCAACCCTGATAAGGCAGATGCTGAGATACAGACATACTGATGCATCGTGTTTTGTTGCTGACAGATGAGAACAGTGCTCTAGGCTGTAAATGTGGCTGTGTCTTCATTACAAATTGCAGCTCAGCTGTTCTGGACACGTGCCTGGTGCTGCTGCCAACCAGATGTTGGCACTAGAATATTTTGTGGATGAGACAGGCTGATACCAAGACTTCTAAATTAACTACTCATGTTCTATTAGATTTTTAATTTCTTTTTTATTTTTACCTTCTGTCTCTGCAATTTTTAATGTAATACAACTAAGCATATTTGTGGAACGATTTTGTGTGGCCTGCTACTTTTGCATTTGAAAGATCTTCAGTCAAGGGAATAAGGCTGATGATGTATTTTGCCTTCTCTGTCTCTGCCAGGCAATCTAAGTGATTCTGGGCTGGCATCAAAAATCAGTGCAGTTGTCTGAGTTTCAGATTATTTTTTTAACAATTGAATGGAGATGAGTTTCATCAAGACAGCCATTAACTTGATGACATACCATAGCTCACTTCATACAACCCATGCTCATAATCTTCCTCAAGCAAATGTGTGATAAAGAAATGAAGGAGTAGTGCTTGGTATCAGTGTAACCTATGTATGAGCATAGCCTCTTAGGCTTGGGCAGCATTACTCAGTTTGGATGGAAAAGACTATCGACAGCCTTAGGAAGTGAGAAATCTCATCTTTACAAAATGCTCTCGAAGGTAAGATTGTGGAAGTGGTAAATTTTGAAGTGCTGCAACTGTTGGAAGGCAGCCCTTCATGACTTAACGGAAGGGAGGCCCATCTGCTTGTGAGGAAAGGCAACTGGTGGAAACTCTGAGAAGATTTGTGATTTCAAAAGGCATAACTGGGCTCTGAAGCAGAGACAACTACAACTGCAGCATCAAAAAGAGCATAGAAAAACACGGGGCTATACTTGCATTTCATGTCATCGTCACTTCATGAGGGAAGAGGAAGTTGAGCTGGAGCTCTGATGTGCTTTCATTTGTTGTTTAGTTCATCTTCAGCAAAGACACCCTGATGTGAGTGCCGTAATAACTGCGTGATGGTAGTCTCTTCACTGGAACTCCTTTTAGCAACGTGTGTTGGCTGCTTAGGTAAGTACTGCTTATGGCTTTTCTTCTTTTATCGTTAGTAACCTGTAGTTCTTGAGATTTTTATTTATTTTAAATCCAGCCCAAAGCATGTCAACCTCAGACTTGTGTGTATGTGAGACAAAAGTGAAGTGTGTTATTGTAATCCAGAAATCAAAATTAAAGCGTGTGGGGGATTGAAAGGCAGTTTTACCAAGAGATTGTTGTAGGAAAACATGTAGAGGAACAAATTTTAGACTTTTAAAATACATTTTAAATGTATTTTAAATGACAAAACAAGTGAGCAGAAGTGACATAAGCAATCAGTTCTTCAAACAGCTTCCAAGTGTTTGCTCACTGCATCGGTCCTTTCCCTTATTGTTCAGCTGTTTATTACCCTTACGGTGTTCTCTGCTTTTAATGTAGGAAGATACTCTGTTTTAGTCTACATCTTAATGCAAACTTAGAGCTGTTTGTACAAATTGACTGCAGTAAATACGATGAGTTCTTACTTAGAAGTATCCTCAATAGGGAGTGCAAAGCATTTGGCTTCCAGCATAATGTTGTAATAATAAGGCTCCTGATAGAATTTCAGGCTGGTTTTGTGAGCCTCTGCTGTTACTCTTCTTCTCATACATATCCAGCAAAGGTCTGGGTAATTCACAGAGCAGCTGCAAATGGCTGGGCTCACTGAAATGGAGGTGCTGTTGAGCATTGCATTGTGAGGAAAAAGTAGAAGTGCTGTTAGGTACGATGGCTAAGAAGCTAAAGAAGTTAAAACATAATTTATGCAATTCTAACAAAAATTAATCAGATGCCACATTAGGAGCAGCTGAAGACCAAGTCATCACGTTCCTTATGTATTGGAAAAAGAATCTGAGTTGCAGGGTAAGAATTGGAAGAAAATTCCACAGTTTACACTCCTTTTGGTTAGTTCCTCACTTTAACAGTTTACACACTAGAAGAACAGTGATGATAGTTCTTCACACAGCAAATGAAATCCATATGATCAGCAATCTAGGGATAGATCTGTATTTCTGGATAGGGATAGATTCTGGCATTTCTGTGATGAGCAACCAAATCATTGACACTGAATAAAAACATTATCTGATATATGCACAGTGATTTTATTTTGGAAGAAAATAATTTGTACACTGCTGTACTGCACTTCATGGAGACAATCTAGCGGGTGGGCAGTAAGTGATTGAAAGCAGCAAAGAGTAAAAAGTGTGATGTCCTCTGATATCTGAGTTAGCCTTAGCTTAAAGCCAAATGAAAACCTGATGAAAAAACTGTGGTGTGAGTGGGATACGTAATAACATAAGGAGGTAAATGTCGTGCTACAGATACAACTTTTTCAGCAATAACTTAAAAGGAAATTTCAAACAAAATTACGGAACCCAAGGCAAAAATGCTGTACTTTTTGTCACTAAGTAGAAGCAGGGCAGAAAAAGAACTCCTACATGGGGACAAAAATTTCCAGGGGGGTTTTCTTTCTTTTTGACAAGTCTTTTTCATCATGGATGAATCATTCCGAATAACTCCTTTTGGTCATTCCTTATCTGGCAGATGAAAACTATGTGTTTAATGTGCTTCTAACTCAACATCTCTTATTTAAAAAAAAAAAATTAAATTAAAAAAAAAAAAGCTATTTATTCAAAATGGGAAAATAAGTATATTGACAAGTACAAAGAAAAACTTCACGTTTTGCACCAGTGATGAAGTGATACAACACATGGTAAAAGTTTACTTTAGCCACAATGTGTCTATTTTCAAGAAGTGGGTAGTAACTAGTCATAAAAATTAATGTCATCACGATTTTACAGTATTAGCATTACTTAAAATAGTATTTAAAATTGTAGATATTAGAGATGTTAAATGATCTAATTGCCTCTTTCTCTTTATATGTATTTCTCCCAGTAGCTGCAGATCCCAGTAATGTAATAGTCACCCAAACACCGACGGAAATGCATCTGTCTATTGGAGACTCCACTGAAATAGCCTGTATTTGGGAAAAGTCAGTTAAGAGATATAGAATCAGCTGGTATCTTGTTAATAAGGAGAACATCACCAGAACTGTATCATCAAATCTTGTCTATGTACGCAACGTCACCCATCAAATCAAGGATGTCCTAGTGATTGAAGCTGCCAGTGCAAATGACACTGGGTTTTACTACTGTGAGATAATTATTGAAATACCTTTCTGTAAAAAAGTGTATGGAAATGGAACAATGCTGGTCGTTGAAGAGCGAGGTAAGAATGCAAGAGTATGTTTATGTCACTTAGCTTATCACTTCCTCCCTTTCCCACATCCCTCCCTCAATGCTGCAGATCTCAGAATGAGCAAGATGAACACAGCAGGGCCTGAACAGCTCCTTATGACAATTACCTTAAGCTCCTTGCCTTAACTATCCCAGTGTAAGGTGTTTGCTTTCTTCTTTAAGGGTTTTACTAAGAAGAATTAGTACTGAATTAAGATCCAGAAAACCTGTGTAACAGCAGTGTGTTTCACAAAAGGCCCAAACCCAATTGCTTCTTTAGAGGAATCCATTAGGGTGGATGTGAGATTATGAATGTATCTTTTGTGTTGTGGGATATGGATGAAATAATCACGTGGTCACTGTTGAATAACATGCATTTACTTTTATTGAGAACACGTTTTAAAAAAAAAGTGGGAGATAACTATGAAAGATACAGAAGTAGAGTGTCTACATTTATAAGAATTTTTGTCCATTAACTTATGACAAGTTGATTTCTAGAGGCTATGTTATCTTACTGTAATGTTGTAATGCGCTAAACTTTAGCAAGAACAAATTAAGGTCCCAGTTCTGAATTCAAGTTTGATAAGCATTAATGCAATGTGTATTCAAACACAATTAAGTTATTAGGCAGCAGGGATAAGATATGCTTCACCTAACTCCAGAGAAAGAGTGCGTTGTACCTAGAAAGTAATTTACCTCACTTGTGTTTCACAGCTGTCTCGAGATACCAGGCATCACTTTCTGAAAATGCCAATCTCCTTCTCTCTTTTTCTGCCTCTGAACTATAAAGAAAAGACAAGGTGGCCAGTTCTGACTAGACCTTAAAATGATCATACACCCGTTACATCTGCCGCTTATTGCACGGAAACATCTGCTCATCCAGTCCAGTCTGGGGCACTGCTTTATGCTTCTGACCATCTGGTAGTCCAAATGGAGGCACAAAGATGACAAAAGATTTAGAAAACGCCAAAGGAGGTTTGAAATAAAGAGTGAATGAAATAGTGTTATTCTAAGCAGGAGGGGGAAATATTCTCCTGAATTGAGTTTAGTGATCTGCTCCATCTCTTGGTCAAGTAGCAGTAGCCTAGAAGTACAGTAGAAAAGGTTCAGATTCACTTGGGGTAAAGCTTTCATTACTGTAGGAACAATGAGTTATAAGTTTGAGTCCCTTATGAGTTTGAATCCCTTATGAGTTATAAGGGATTGATGGTAATACTCATCAGAGAGCATCCAGCGCGAATGATGCAGCACAGATGACCTTGCATATGAGTGGGAGAATAGGTTGATTCATTCCTAAAGTTGCATTTTGGTTTGGTTTGTAATAATGTTCTTCAATTGTTTCTTTGAGTTGTGCATAACTTTACTTTACAAATGTAATTGCAGAAGCTCAGTCATTGGATAAGAAAACGTCAGTAGTTTGGCTCATCATTCCCATCATTCCTTTCTTAGCTGCAATGGGGAGCTTATACTTCTGCTACAAAAAGAAACAGAAGTCGACGTTTTCTGGTGAGTGACAGTGTTTCCATTAGCGCATGCTTTCTAAACTAAATATTTATTTTGAGCTGTATGAACAGATGAACTTGAGGCATCACCAAGAGGACTTCGAAGGTACAACTTCTGCTCACTTTCTCTTTACCTGCAATGGGCACCTCAAGCTGAGAAATTTGAGAGGAGGGTCCAGAAGGCACTGGCTGTACCTCAGACGAGCATCTTACAGCCAAAAGAAGTTGAGCATCTAGAATTTAACTCTGCATTATTCCTGCTAGTGATACCTGGCTTGGGTGGAAAAAATCATGAGAGAAAATAGTGCACAGGAAGGGTGCAGGACAACTGTAGAAATAAGTCATCTGCAGGTGATGGGTGCAGGCCAGTGACGCAGAACCTAAGGCAGCATGTTAAGTAACTACATAACACGAATATTATGGTGGCAATAGAGGCTTACTCAGCTGGTGGGCTATCAGGGATATAGGAGGAATGTCTATGACATTCAACTTCTTCAATTCAACTCCCAGTTAAAAAAAAAAAAAAAAATCTGGGGCAGTTAGGACAGGTGAGTCACTAAGCTCAGTGTGTTCTCTCAGCCCAGAAAGCCAGCTGTATCCTGTGATGCAACAATATTAGTGTGGTCAGCAGGTCAAAATCCTGCCCCGCTACTCTGCACTGGCGAGACCCCAGCTGGGGTATTGCATCCAGATGTGGAATCCTCAGTACAGAAAAGACATGGACCTGTTGGAGCGCATCCAGAAGACAATGAAGACACTGCAAAGATGATCCAAGGGATGGAACACCTCTCCTACAAGGACAGGCTGAGAGAGCTGGGGCTGTTCAGCCTGCAGAAGAGAAGTCTTGGGGAGACCTGGGAGTGGCCTTTCAGTGTCTAAAGGGGGGCTGTAAGAAAGAAAGACTGTTTAGCAGCATCTGTTGTGACAGAACAAGGGGAAATAGTTTCAAACTAAAAGGGAGGAGACGTTCCCATGTTGCCCATAAAAGTGGTGGATGCCCCATCCTTGGAGACATTCAACATCAGGCTGGAAGGAGCTCTGAGCAGCCTGGTCAAGTTGTAGGTGTCTCTGTTCATTGCAGGGAAGTTTGACTAGATGATCTTTAAACAACTCAAACAAATCTATGAACATATGATTCTGTTTTGATAACTGGAGGTGACACAGGAATGGAACTTGAGATCTATGTGAGAACTGGTAAGTAGTAGGGTGTCTGCTTAGAGGTAAGCTGATTGGTTACTAGACTGCTTTTTGTGGCACATGCTGTTATCAAGATCTCTATCACATAAGAAAAATTGACAAATCAGAAGGTAGCTGATATCGTCTGCCTGCACAATGCCATACTATCATCTCTCACTGAGCCATACATGAGCTCTGCACACTTTGTTTCAGCAGTTTTCTCTGGTAGAATAAAAGTGTGGGCAACAAGAAAGCGGTGACCGTAACTTTTTCCTACTAAGGTTCTGCCCAGCTTCCTGCACCACAAGAAGGGCGTCAGGAGGAGCAGACACTTGAGGTGGCAGACATTTATAGAAGAACTGAATCCACCAGAGAAGAAGCTGGATGGGTAAGTGGTTTATGAAGGAGCTTTCTCTTGCTGTGAGGAAAAGAATTTCAAAACAAGGCAGTGGGGAGTATGACTGAACTGAGAGCATGCAATGATAAACTGCAGCTCTAAGAATGGCATCTTACTGTATGCGAAGAAGTTCTGAAGCACAAAAATGTAAAATAAGTACTTTAAAAGCCAGCACTCTGAATTAAGGAAAAAGACACAGAATACTAGGAAAGTATTGGTTTCACTTGTTAAGGTGGTTATGTTCAATGACTCTGGGAAGAAAGGCAGCAAAAAGTGGAGAATCTCAATATAAATACTGTCTGAAAGAAGTATAAAGGAAGTGAAAAATAGCAATAATTTTGTTCACATATATTCTTGGACCAGCTTCAGTGCAAAAGGCCATTACAACTTGCAGTGCTTGCTGAGAGCAGGTAGATTTATGAAGGCAAAAACAGAAAGCCTCCAGAGGGAAGTGCACTCTACAGCATCCACCTTCTTACTGTTTTACAATCAGAATTTTATTTGCTGTGTGTCTGGGAGCTCAGACCTTTGTGCACGTTTCAAGGAGAACACTAATTCTCAGGTTTTGCTGAAGAACTGACTTGAAGTTCCCAAAACTTACCTGTGCTTAGGAAATGAATATACGTTGGTCTCTGTATAGCCCAGAATAACATCTGGATGCCACGTCAGTTTGGTGGTTTACTGCATCAAAAAGCACCCACCCAGAAAGAACAATATGGTAGACTTTTTTTTTTTAGAAATGTTGGAGCTAAATGATTAAGGGAAATGCTTTTGCATTTCAGAATTCATAGAGCCTTATTTACACCTGGACCCGTATATCTTTGGTATCCTAAGGTGGGTACCTTGATTCTGGTGCTTCATTAGCTGAGAAGTGAATCCCAACATAGGGAGATTTTGCCATTCGATGTCAGTAATTTCCATCTAGAACTATAACTCCACGCTTCTGTGATGTGTCCAGTGCTTGTCCTTCTTTTCATTTGGCTTTGCTTTATATTGTATCTTGGATATAAGGTTCATTTTAAATAGCCTTTAATGAAATTTTCTTTGTTTTTTAAGGCTGTGTCTACGCTTTATAACTCACTCGATTCTTTTTACGATGCATCAAACTAAAAAATGACAAACCCGCTGTCACTACTGGACCCAGTGCAGCAGATGAGCAAATCCCACGAACTGGGGCAGCTGCAAAGTCTACAACTGGGGTGTGGTGAGGAGCTTCAATCCACTTTGACATTCAGAACTAAAGGATCATGTAATAACAATAATGTTGTTAACAAGTTATGGAACTGAAAACAGTATGTAATGTTGTGCTGGAATATAGATTACATGCATTTCCTGCGACAAGCGTGTCAGAAGAAAGGTTGGTTCAACACCATTTCCTGAATGTTTTCTGACTGACTTTATTGTAAGGAGTCTATGAATTTTGAGAGCAATTTTTAGAAAACTGTCTTCAACTCAACCATTTTGAGTTGGACCAAATGATCCTTTCCAACTCGGGATATTCTATGATTCTAAATCTTCCTCCATGTTCAGAGTATGGAAATAATATAGGATGCATTATATTTTGAAAAATCTTCTGTACTGAACAACTTCCTCTGAACAGCAAATGCATTTCTTCAGGTAGCCGCTCTGTAAATCAGTCTTTCATCCTGAGAGAGCTGGGGCTGTTCAACCTGGATAAGGGAAGGCTTCAGGGAGACCCGCGAGTGGCCTTTCAGTATTTAAAGGGGGCTGTAAGAAAGAAGGGGACATATTCTTCAGCAGAGTCTGTTGTGACAGAACAAAGGGAAATGGTTTCAGACTAAAAGAGAGGAGATTACCATTGCATATAAGGAAGAAGGTTTATTGTTGTGGTTTTTTTTAACCATGAGGGTGGTGAGACACTGGCTCATGTTGCCCAGAGAGGTGGTGGATGCCCCATCCTTGGAGACGTTCAAGATCAGACTGGCACCTGATCGAGCTATAGAGGTATCCCTGTTGAATGCAGGTGAGCTATGGTAGATGGCCTTTGAGGCTGTTTTCCAACTCAAATGATTCTGTGAAATTGCAGAAGTTAAAGGAAAATGCACGTCATGGTAATGACTTGGCCAGGCAGTCAGTAGTACGGACAGGATGACGTCTGCTCTCTGAAAAGGTCATCTGTGCTGACAGTGTCATAGCATGGGTGGTGTGCCAGGAGGCGTCGTGTTCCTGTGGAAAGGGACAAGGCATTAATTTGCAGAGCTACGGAAAGTCTTTCAGAGAATGCAGTCTCCTGTGTCAAAAGAAATACTTGGTTTAAATGAAGTTGTATGTAATATAATTAGGTGTATTTATTGCCTAGTGTCTGCTATGCTGGACACAGAGCAGCTTTCCAAAGCCCTTCCAGGCAATTGGCGCCATCTCAACTGCTGGCTGCTGGCTGCTCAGCATCCTGTAGTGAACTTGCTTTACAGCGTGCCTTGTGCTCTGGCTCTGTTCATGCTGTGGTGGCTGCAGTACATTGTGGATGTGTATCCTGCAAGAGAGAAATTATTTCTTACTCTACAATTTATGTAGAGGATTTTCTTTTCCTCCTTTTGAACTTCAGTCACTTTAAAATCTTGGACTTTTTTGTCCTGAAAGTCATGATTACAGATGCTTCCTCTGCTGCGTGGTGAGCGCTGTGCTGTGCCATGTTCCTTTGAGGCTCACAGACATGACTGTCCTTGATTTCTGCAAACACTGCAGCTTTTTTTCTCTACACCACAGAGTCAGAGGCAGTAACAGGAGTGGTGACCTTCAGAACAGGTCAAGGAAACTCTCAGTTATGTATCACAGATGTAACTGGGTGTGGTAAATGCTGGCCATTTTATCTGTTACTGGTTACTTCTATATGTAAGATCTGTGAAGAGATGTGTACAATATTCAGATGATAAGTAAAACCACTAAATAAAGATTGCCACCTGGCCACAGTTTAATAGTCTGTAAATCATATTTTCATTACAGCACCAGTAACAAATCCTTGATTAAATGTGGTTTCTAGTAGCAGAGCTCCACATTACTGACAGCTGCTCGTATTTTGAATGCTGACGTCGTTGTGTCCAACATCTGGCAATGGGGAGATCGACCCCCACTTCATCGTGTCTTGTTCTTGTCTGACAGAGCCGTGAGCTGCAGCTGAGCTCCCCTTCCTGTTTCTCTCCCACTGATGGCACTGGCTTGGAGTTGTTGCACTTCAGCCTGTTTCCTTACACTTGGGACTGCAGACCTCAGCTTGCTCTCTTCCTTGCTTCATTGCACAAAGGTCCTGTGGGGCTCAGCTCCATTCAGCTACCTGGCATTTGGGCAGTTACTCTTGGCAGTTTGGCTGCTGGGTGCTTTGGTCTGGCTCAAACCTTACTAACTTGCCATGAATCTATGGAAGAGGAGACTGGAGCTGCACCCCTGGCTCTGTAGCATCAGGCATCCCTGGCAGCAGACAGGAGGAGAAGGAGCCCCCAACCCTCTGGCCAAATAGTCATGTTCCTGTGTGTGATGCTGTGACTCATATTTTTGTGCCTCATAATGGCACTTTCTGAACAGCAGAGACATTAGCTTAGTTAAACTAAAACTCATCCGCAATCTGATTTTATCTAAAGTGGTTTCTCTGTACTGCTGACATCAAGAACTGCTGGCGTTCACAAAAACAACACCTACAGCCCAGGCTTTAACTGATTTCAGGCTGCTTCCTGCGTTAGTTGAGAACTCTGTCAGTGTGGAAGCACAGCTCCATGGGGCAGGCAGCTGTGTGATTGGATCCAGTCCGTACAGAGGGCAGATCTATGCAGGCAGGATGTGTTCGGATGGCAGTTCTTGGCTAACTCGAGCGCTGGCTGCGAGACAGAAGCTGAAATCAATGCTTGACCTGAGATAAGGTGTTTTGCCTGCTCCTCCATTGAAGACTACCATCTTCAAGTAGATCTTCTATGTAAGGGAAACACTGTTCTCTGAAGAACCACCTGAGGAGGAGCTGGCGCATATGATGTGGGGCCCATGTTTCCATTCACCTAAGACAGACGTCGTGTTGCTTTTATTCTGGCTCACAAACTGGGCTTTCCTACCTCATTGCAGTTTTGTGCACTGCATCAATTTCAGTCAGACTCCGAACTGATGCATGTTGCCACATCCTTTATAAACAACTGCAGAAACAAAGCGGAATAAATATATGATGATCAGAATTTATTTTTGCCGCCATACTTGTCTTGGGTAGGTACAGCAAAGGCTGGTTTGGTGGTGGTTTTACTTTTTTTAATATGTCATCCTCTATCAATCCTGTGAACAGGAAACTGCAAATCCAACTGGAAAATGGATGTAGAGATCAAAAGAACGTTCACTGATTTCTCTGAATATGAGAAAGGGTGGATGATCATGTGTGGGCTGCAACGCTGTATGAAGGCAGAGCTGCCCTCACATAAGTCATCTGAGATCTTTGTGTCAGTGAAATGCCCGGTGCTGTGTTACCTGCTCGTGTTTGCCTTGTCCCAAACCTAAATACCTGCACTCCTGCTTAGCAGGATGGCAGCCTCTGGTTAGGGCTGTGAAAGCAAATCCGAATGTAAGCAATAGGTTTTGCTCCCTTGTTACAACTTTTAATTCTGGAAAGAGAGTGAAAGGTAAACATCACCAGTGAATGCAGCAGAAGAGGTCAGTTGGTGAAGTGACAGCCTCCACAAAGATACCGCTAGTCTGATGGAGTTGGCTCAGAGTAACCCTCCTTTCTCATGTTAGCAGCTCTACAATGTTAAATTTAGTTTTTCCTTGTAAGTTTCTTTTTAAAATGCAAACTTTACATAAATAGTCTGGCCCTAAACTGGGCTCTATCGAGCAAGAAAGGAAATGGAAAAAGCAGCTGACATGTTGTTCGGGCTCTGAGCGAGGAGGCTGACAGCCTCTAGGCAGAAAGAGCAAGAGCTGTTTTTTCACCCTTCCTGTCTGCAATGCTGTGACACAGCTATGGGGCTGCTAAGCATCCTGTATTATTTCTGCTCTGAACCCACATACATAACATTTTACAAGGGAACAAGTATGCTGAGCATGTTGGCATTCCACTTCGGTCATTCGCTGGGGGTCAGCCTCATGACCACTGCTTGAAATGATCCCTTTGGGAGTTTTTTTGTTGTTCTTTCTGACCGTAGCACAGGACTTTCCCCCATGCTGACCACAGCTCAGCAGGATGTGCCTGCAGAATTACAGAAGCATGAAGGTAGTGCAAATGACAACAGGGCTGCCTGTGTGAGAGTGACCAAGCTGTCATGGTTGTTGGAAAACAGCAGTGAAAAACTTCTGCCTATCATTACAATAAAAAAAACAAAAGAGCCTTGGAAGCCTTAATATCATGAAACTTCAGCACAGAAGTATATAAATCCCATGCAGGGTAGCATGAAGGAAATGATTCAATCAGAGGCTGAAAACTAGACAGAAGTATTTACACTGTAAATATTGATTTACTGTTAGTTGACTTTGGTATGCATGACTTTACCTGTCTTTAAAATATATGTACGTTGTATGTGAGCTCATTAATCAATTTTAAGGGTATTTTGAGAAATAAATGATAAAATGATGACCTATGCAGTTTTGAACCCTGAAAAATTGCCAAAAAACTCTGAGTGGCTGCAGCATTTGATCCCCAGACGTACATATGTGTGCTGTGGAAGTGAGATGACCTTTAAAACCATTACCCAGATGTAGAGCAAGTTTTTGGAATTGGTGCAAAGGAGAACCTTGCTCTTTAGTGACTGAAATGTGTTGTTGCTCTAAATTCAACAAGAAAATGGGATGCTGAAAAAGATGAGGGTTTTGATAATAATGTCTCAGTGTGGAACATGCACTGCTTGTTTTTCTGTAAAAGGCAAATTGAAAAGGGAATATTAGAAATACTAATTGAAAAGGGAAGGGCTGTTTAGCACTGCTGCAAGAAGAACACTGAATTCACCTCAAATTGTGTTTTCTCCTGTGCTTCCTGCATTCTGCTATTTAAATTGTGAGAACTGTCAGAAAGCTGTTCTGCAAACCTTTTGGGGTAAATGTTAGGGGATGAGAAGCTCTAAGAGAAGTTTAACCTTTCAGCTCTGCCGGCAGTGATGGTGACACAAATGGCTCATTAGACCTGATGAATGTATTTAGTCAGACTTTTCCAAAGCAGAAGCCACTGCAAAGAGCACAGGGTAAAATTTATTTTCTGAGAGAAAATCAGCTCAAGGTCGTACAGATCACATTTAAGCCTGAGTGCCTGGCCAAGTGCCACTCAACTGAAGTATCTGAATGGTTTCTGGAAACAGCATGACTCTGCACATCAGCATCATATTAATCAATCACACTTCTGGCCCAAGTCAGGGCAGCAGGACCTAATTCTGTATAAATTCTCTGTAATGCCTCATCCAAGCTGTTGTCTACAACATTCCTCCAAGAAAGAAACTTGAAGGAAGCAACTGGTGGCTGTTGTTTGCATGGAGACTGATATAAAATGTAACCCAACGCCAGCTCCCAGCTCATCTCCCTGAGTGCTGGATAGGTGGGTTGGCATCAAAGCATTTCTTGCTCTCTTGCATGGCCTCGTATTTGTACTCTGCTCTGTTTTGCAAACAGTTGGGGATGGTCTATTCTGTGCCTTGTGCACCACGCTGCTCTTCTTAATGAAAAGCATATCAGAAGAAAATATTTAAGCAATACAAGGCATGTGAATTGAAAGTCTGAGTAGTTCTGGGGTGTGTGCGTGCACGTGAATGCAAATATGTAACATGTAACGAAAATAAATAAATAGAAAGCAGACGTTGCCACCATGGTGACCTTTCTATTTCTAGAAATTCAAGTCCTGTGGTCTATTTTGTTTAAGCATTTTTGAGACACTTTCTGAAAACCTCACTTCAACTGATTTGCACAGAGAAGTTGGGGATGAGGCTGCCTTTCCTGCTGAGTTCCATGGCAAAGGTGTGGCTGCAATGATGCATCCTGCTGACTGAAGCTAATGCTGTCCCCCATCTGTCTTTTAGGGGCATTTTTTTCTCTTCCTCTATGGTCGCTAATATAGATGAACATGATCCAAGAGAGTGTCCAGAGAGTGTGTGAAGCGTAGACACTTCATTTTGCTCAGGTTTCCTCTAGTGGGAGGAACTGGTTTCTCTTTAATAGCCATGTTTTATGTTCATGTGTCAGAAAAGGACAACAACGTTATTGAAACTTTTTAATGTGCATCTCTAGAATAAAGCTGATATAAACATAGAACTGATTCTCACATGAGGGCCATTCCTCATTTGCTGAATTAATCACTCAAGTCATCAAGAAAAAACCTTTGAAATGGATTGGTTTTTGTCTTGAGAATTCATCAACTAATTCCTGGGTTTACAATCTTGTATAATGTCACAGTTTCTGGGAAGGTAGCTATGTTGCCAACAAATGAAGATCTTGACTGAAGATGGGGAATCTATATACTTCTACATTTATTTTATTTACATACTCAGTGTGTACATCAAAGTGATGC